CGACATTAATTAATGATAATAAGATCACTAAGTTAGATACACAGAACTGCATTTTCATCCAAAGCCTCAAAATTTGCATATGAAGATAAGTGGTGTGGATGAGTGCAGTGGAGAGATTTCTTAAAACCTCTTGATGCTTAAAGTATTTTGGTACCTCCCACATTTTTCACATATGAGTCTTCAATCACAGCGAGTAGTGGAACTGCATGAGGCAATCAGCCCAAAAAAATGTAGTGAACGTGATGCTTCCCACATCTTTCCTCTTAGTCACAGAATCCAGCAAGAATGTATCATTGAAATTGGCAATCCATTAATTAATAATTTATTGAGCACCTATACTGATCAAGACACCATGCTAAGTCCTGTGGTATATACATTGTGGGGGAGCAACATAGTGCCTACACCCAAGAAGCTTACATTCTCTAGCTGGGAAGAAAAGACATCTCCCCATTTTTAAAAAGGCAATATATGGCAAGTCCCAGATAGCTACAAATAGTAAGTACTTCAGGAATTCAGAGGAGGCTGAGATTATAATGAGTAGGGTAATCAATGGAGAGAAGGCAGTTCTTGATCTGGACCTTGAAAATTTTGTTGAAAAAAGGTTAGGGAGGGGCAGCTAGGTGGTGCAGTGGATAGAGCACTGGCCTTGGAGTCAGGAGGACCTGAGTTCAAATCTGACCTCAGACCAGACATTTGATACTTATTAGCTGTGTGACCTGGGAAAATCACTTAACTCTATTGCCTAGCCAAAAAAAAACCCAAAAAACAAAAAACAAGATTTTCCTCTAGAATATATTTAATTAATGCTCATCTGGCCTCTGTTTAAAGGCTGCCAGAGAGGGAACCTACTCAATTTTGGAAAATCCTAAAAGTAATATATTTTTTTTTTTTGTCTAGACCCTTGGTTTCATTGGCAGCTAGGTGGCTCAGTGCATAGAATGCTGGGCCTGGAGTGAGTATAGACCTGAGTTCAAATCTAGCTCAAATACTTACTACCCATGTGACCTCAGGCAAGTCACATAACCTCTGTTCGCTTCATTTTCTCCACCTGTAAAATGGGAATAATAGTAGCACCTGCTTCCAACGGTGTTATGAGAATCAAATGAGATAATATTTATAAAGCATTTCACAAACTTTAAAGTGTTATGTAAATGTTAGTTATTATTGTTATTGGCATAGGAATGTCACTCTACCAATGCTGATCACTAATTATCTGCAACTTAGAGCATTGCCTCAAGTACTGATGGGATAAGTGACTTGCCCACACTCCTATTTCCCAGACAATACTTGAACCCAGAGCTTCCTAGACTAAAAGGTCAGTTCTCTATCTACCATGCCAGATGGCTTCTTCAATAACAATGGTAATAATAATAATAATAACTTGCATTTATATGTAGCACTTTGAGGTTTGTAGAGTGATACATATATAAAATATATATTATATATACACACATTATATATGTATATATATATCACTGTATAAACCTTAAATTGCTACATGTAAATATAAGCTAATATATGTATGTGTGTGTGTGTATGTGTATCTTTTCAATTGAGCCTCACAATAGTAGGGGAGATAGGACTATTATCTTCATTTTATAGAAAAGGAAACTGAGAGTCAGAGAGGTTATGTTACTTGCCCAGGGTTATTAGCAAGAAAATATATGAACCAGAATTTGAATCCATGTCTTTCTAATTCTAAATCCAATAGTCAATTACTATGACACGCTGCCTCTAATTGGTAGGAAGGTTACCCTTACATCCGCCCTTTTACAAATACACCCCAGCATTTGAGAATTAGAAGTAACTTCAGCAGCCATCTAGACCAACCCAAATGTGAGAAGAATCTCTCAACAATTGGTCCACAACTTCTACCTGTTGTTCCTAGTTCCTCTCCCTGGCACCAAACAATAAATCTAATCCCTTCTCCCCTATGACAGCCCTTCTACTACTTGAAGCCAGTTAGCATGTCTTTCCCTCCTCCAGATCTTCTCTGCTTGGGCTAAACATCACGAATACCTTGAATAGACAGAGAAAGTGTGTCCAGAGAGGTCAGAGGAGAACCAGGATAGTGAGTAATGAGAATACTTATTAATAGATGGTTGAATTTCTAAGATGAAAAGCAGAGGTAGGAGGAGAACCAGGATAGCAGGTAACGAGAATGTTGATTAATAGATAGATGGTTGAATTTCTAAGACAAAAAGCAGAGAGATGTGTCCAGAGAGGTAGGAGGAGAACCAGGATAGTAGGGAATGAGAATATTGATTAATAGATGGTTGGACTTGTAAGATGAAAAGTGTTATACTGTGTAATTATGTGATGAGATGATAACTACTTTTTAAACTTAAGTTTTGAAATTTTGAACTTAAGCACTGAAAAAGTATTTCCACAAAACGCAGAAGGAGGACTGTTTATGGAACCCTGAATCTCCATTTCATACTACTTGTATATAGTATATAAATGAAGTCCATATATTACTTTAAAAACTATCCCACTTGTTTATGCATCCTTCTCAACTTCCCTATCTTCTGTGAATTAAAAATATGTCTATATCTATATCTATATCTATCTATTTATATTTCAGTGGCCTAATTCCTTAAAATCAATATTACTAACCCTCCCCATTCTCTCCAATCACCATCTGTCATCAATTATGTTTAAAAGGGAGAGAAAGGAAAAACCCTTGTAAATAAATAAATACAATCAAACCAAATGAATCCACACATCAGGAGCGTCCACAAATACAGATCTCTTTCTACACCTTGAGTCCAGCACTTCTTGTCAGGAAGTGGGCAGCATGCTTCATCTTAGGACCTTTGGGGATGTGACTGATGAGAGTTAAGTTTCAATGTTGTTTTACGTCATAATATTGCTGTCCTTATATCCAATGTTTTCCTGCTTCTTCTCACTTCTCTGTGCCAATTCACATGACCAAGGATTCTCTGTAATTATCTCTTTCATCATTTCTTATGGCACAATAATATTGCATTATAGTCACATACCACAATTTGTTCAGTCAGTAAGCACTTTAAGTTAAAGTTTTGCTGAATTGTCACTGTTTTCTGTAGGCAGTCTTCCTAGTACCATGCAAGCATAAGAAATCATCAGATCTGTACTTTGCTTTCTAGTAGTTCTGACCTCCTTCTCTTTGAAGACAAATCCATCACCCTGCAGGAACAGGGTCCCTCTTGGGAAACCTTTGTATACACATGCACACACACACACTCACACAGAGGGAGGGGGAGAGAGAGAAAGAGGGAGGGAGAGAGAGAGAGAGAGAGAGAGAGAGAGAGAGAGAGAGAGAGAGAGAGAGAGAGGGAGAGAAAATGAGAGAAAGAGAATGAATCTGGGATTCTGACACGGAGTAGGATAGCCTCATCAGAGGAGATCAGTAGTTGACCAGAGTCCCGAGAGGTGAGCCTAGCCAGGAGATATGGACATCAGGTTCCAGAAAAGAAGTCTTTGTTATGAAATTAGAACATCTGTATCTACTTAGAAATCCTGGTGCTCTCCCTTGCCAAAACTCCTGGCCCTACTAGGCTGAGTCAGAGCGGGACTTACATGCTTTTAGATAAACCAAAGTATCTCTCTCTCAAGGCTTTTGTAAACTGACTCTGAGGAGGGAAGCTTCTTTTTCCTTAAATGGATGATGGGAAAGAATTATTTTCATCTGGAATTCTTCTTATGTCTAAACTTTTATCTACCCACATAGGCAAGAGGCATCTTCACTCCTTCTGGTAAGAAGGCCATGACCTTGGTGGGGCTGCTTGCAATAGGCCTCTCTTCTGGTAATTATGACCTCTCTGATCTAGCCAATGGATTTAAATAGAAACTCTTTCTTGAAACTTTACCCCAGGGTGTCATGATACAGGAAGGGAAAAGGCCGGATTTGGAGTCCTGGGGACCGGGGTCCAAATTCCACTTATCTATCTTCTTTGTGATTTTGGGGAGGTCTCTGAACCTCAGTTTTCTCATCTATAAGATGAAGGGCCTGTATTAGATGATCTACAAGGTCATAAATCAAAATAGATTTAGAGCTGGAAGCAATTATTCCTTAAGGAATTTATAATCTCCTTGGGGAGAGAAAGTATTCATACATGAAAGGGTTAAGAAAGAATAGAGACAGCATATAGTGGAAAGAGGTCCGCATTTGCAGTCAGAGGACCTGGGTTCAATTATATCTATATATATAGATATAGATATATAGATAGATAGATAGATAGATAGATAGATAGATAGATAGATAGATAGATACATGTATATCCTTCTTACATTTCAAAGCACATTCTTAATTATTATTCCTTTGGAACTTCAAAATATCCCCAAGGAGGTAGGTAAGGAAATTATAAACATCCATAGACAAATAAAGCATCAGGAGCCCATGGTTATCCCAGATGATATTAACTGACAGGACTAGGACCTAACATTTTTGTCTCTTAATTAAATTTTTCCCCACTCTACCACTGGTGCCTTCCTAAGAGATAAGCCAATGGTGCCCCCATTGGAAGTAATTCATTCATAGATTCAATAATTCATTCGTTCATTCAACAACCATTTATTACACATCTACTATATTCCAGGCACTGAGGTTATAAAGACAAAAATGAGAACAGCTTACATTTTACTGGGGGTTGAGGGGGCATAAGTGAGGAGGGGTAGGTGGGTAGGGGAAACAATGAGATTTGGAATGCTGGGTGGGAAGAGGTGAGATTCTGAAGCAGTTAGGGGGAGCGTAGTGTGGTCCCTGAACCCTTTTGTCTTCAGATGCCAACAGGAGCCTCTCACATCCTCCTCTTCTACCATCCCATCTAGACAGCGCAGAGGATAGAATGCTGGGCCTGGAGTCAGGAAGACCTGAGTTCAAATCCACATTGAGACATATACTAGCTGTGTGACCCCAGCTAAGTCACTGTTTGCCTCAGTTTTCTCAATTATAAAACAGAGATGATAATCATAGATTTGTGGTGAGGGTCAAATGAAATAAGGCTTAACACAGCACTTGGCACATAGTAAGTACTTAATAAATGCTTGTTTCCTTCCTCCCTTTGTTCAGACAGGCCACTTCCAGATGAGAGGCTCCCACACCCCATGTCTTGTAAAGGAAGTTGGGGCAAGACATAGTCCTTGACTTTTATGATTATTTCTTCCATAATCTGAAAAAAAGTGGGGGGGGTCCCCAAGAGTAAGAGCTGGAGAGGACCTTGGAGGTCATGTAGTTCGACTTCTTCATTTTACAGATAAAACAGAGACTTAAAGAGATCATGAGTTTTCCGAGGTAGTGAACGACATAACTAGGATCTCAGCCCCAGAGCGCTGACTCTAAATCTAACAACTTTTCCCATAGACCATGCTGCCTCCTTTTTTTTCTTTTTCTTTCTTTTTTTTTGGTGAGGCAATCGGGATTAAGTAACTTGCCTAGGGTCACACAGCTAGTAAGTATCATGTGTCTGAGACTGGGTTTGAATTCAGGTCTTCCTGACTCCAGGGCTGGTGCTCTACCTATTGCGCCACCTAACTGTCCCTCTCTCTTTTTTCCTTGTTTTATTTTTGTGGATTGGAAATTCTCAAGAAACAATGTCGGTAACTCCCTTGGGGATGTGCATTTTTTAAAGTATGAACTCAATAAGTGCTCATTGAACCAGTGAAATAAATGAATAATAAAAACAATAAAAGAAGATAAGAAAAATTACAGTAACACAGATGCGATGGTACACTACTGTGATGTAAGAAATGACGAAAGGGATTGGTTTCAGAAAAACCTGGGAAGGCTTGTATGAACTGAGGCAAAGTAAAGTGAGCAGGATCAGAAGAATAATTCAGATAGTAACAGAAATATCGTAAAGAAAATCGACTTTGAAAGACTTAGGAACTCTGATCAGTATAATGGCTAAACACAATTCTAAAGGACTCATAACGAAGCATACTATCCACCTCCAGACAGAGAAATGATGAACCAAGCAAGCAGGCTGAAGTATATTTTCTTCTATTTCTTTCTTGTTCTTGCTTTTTAAAAAAATATGGCTAATGCAGAAATCTGTTTTGTATGACCTGTATGAAATATATATTCACATAGGCTACATGTGTGTATATCGGTTTTATTTTTATATTTATTTGTATATTTTATTAAATATTTAATTAAAGTAATTAAATTTTTATTTAAATTAAGTTTAATTAAAATTAAACATATTTATGTATAAATATATGTTCATTGATAGCATATTGTATATTATAGATATGTATTTTACATTTTTATATTTCATTTTTCTTACCTCCTCAATGGATGGGGGGCAGGAAGGAAAGAGGGAGAGAATTTGGAACTAAAAATAAAATAAAATTGAATTTTAAAAATTAAGTAATAGGGGCAGCTAGGTGGCACAGTGGATAGAGCACTGGCCCTTGAGTCAGAAGGACCTGAGTTCAAATCTACCCTCTGATACTTACTAGCTATGGGACCCCGGGCATGTCACTTAACCCCAATTACCTCCTTAAAAAAAAATAAAGTAATCCTTTGACAGTTTGATTGGTACAGTGTTGAATAAGTGCACTGATTTAAGTAGTATTGTCATTTTTATTATATTGACAAGGCCCAAACATGAGCAACTGATATCTTTCTGATTATTTAGGTGTACCTATATTTCTGTCACAGTGTTTTGTAATTATATAGTTCATGTGTATATTGGTAGGTAAACTCCAAAAATTTATTTTTAAGGGGGAAGCTAGGTGGCACAGTAGAGAGAGCACTGACTCTGAAGTCAGGAGGACCTGAGTTCAAATCTGCCCTTAGACCAAACACTTGACACTTACTAGTTGTGTGACCCTGGGCATGTCACTTAACCCCAATTGCCTAAAAGAAAAAAAATTTTTTTTAAAATTCAACAAATATTTACTGAATACCTACTACGAGTAAGGTTCTGTGCTAGGCATGGGAAGGATATAAATATGACACATGTAAGAGGTTAATGAAATCAAGGGCCAAAGGGTACTTTGGGGACTCATAAAGACCTTGGGGACTCTTCTGACTCAAAGGCAACATGCAGGAAACCTAGGAAAATATATGTATAATTTTGTTACTATCTTGTTAAATTTTATATATACTTTCAAAAACTGTATGTAACAAAAGTTTACTATTTCACATACAATCCTTTTTTGTTCTTTGTACATTAGAATGTGTTTGTTGATTACTAAAGTTTAAAAGGAAAAAAAGAAAATTTAAATAAAAAATTATAATGCAGTTGGTAGGCTAAACCAGGAATGGAAATATAATAGGAATTTTAGGCCTTGGAGCAAATTCACTGGGGAGGAGTGAGGCATGAGGCATTTCTCAGAACAAGGCCACATGAGGAGAGACAGACAGTCTGAGATACTACCTCATGTGGCGGAAGGGGAAGACAGAGACCCCCAGGCTTCCTCTCTCTGAGTAGGAGGAAGGTCACAAGTGTCCCTCATGGCATTCTGCCCAATTGGGTTCAGTCATACAGGGAATATAGGCAATCATCCCCAGAGGATCTGTCTGGCCTATGATCCCACAGTATGACTCACCACTCACCTCTGATCCCCCAATCTTCAGAAAGGGAGGGAAGGAGAAGCCTGGGAGAAGACCCAGGAGCAGGACAAAGCTGAGTGACTGTAAGCATCCTGCTTTCAGGAAGAAGTAAAGATCCATCTTTCCTCCATGGCAGCATCCTAGGGCAAAGCTCTGGGGGCCCCATTCTAGTTACAACTATGGGTCATCTTTGGTGTCATTAGAAGAGGTGACCTGCCAAAAGGAAAGAAAGCTGAGTGCTGCAGCCTCAGTGAAATTGAGAAAGTAGGTGAGGCTTCTTTGCCTTGGTTAATGGAACTCTTGCTACATGATCAGAACCATGTCAGGGGTTAGAAGGAGGAATGGATGCAAAAGAAATTGGTCGGAAGCCATCTGAAGCTTAACGATCCTGCTGAAGAGAGTGAAACAGGAAATAAAAGAAGGCAGAAGCTAGTTAGGGAGATCAAGGAGGGTGGAAGGTGAAAATTGAGCTTTTAAGATCAATGGTACAATTGGGTCATTTCCCCGTTTCAGTTTGAGAATCCACGCCTGAGACTTGCTGACTGACTCGCCTTCATTATTTCCTGGCTCACTGGCACACTCCTAGGCACTACCCAGTTCCACGCTGCATTTGTTTAGCAACACTATTGGGTTCAGTTAGGGCTCCACATTTTAGGGGGGTCATTAAAATATCCAGAGAGCAGCTAGATGGTGCAACGGATAGAGTGCCAGCCATGGAGTCAGGATGACCCGAGTTCAAATCCAGCCCCAGACACTTACTAGCTGTGTGACCCTGGGCAAGTCACTTAATGCTGTTTGCCTCAGTTTCCACATCTGCAAAATGAGCTGGAGAAGGAAGTGGCAAACCACTCCAGTATCTTTGCCAAGAAAACTCCAAATGGAGTCACAAAGCTGATAGGCAATACAACAAACAACAACATTAGAATATCCACGGGAAGATAACCAGGATGGTGAAATGACTTCACAAAGGAACATGAAGTTCCTAGCTGAGACAAGAATCAAACCCAGCTTTGCTGATGCTTAGTCAAAATATTTTCTCTGCTGGTAACATTTGCTTGTCCCTGGGGATATGAAGACTAAAACTAAAAAGCAGGTGAGCCAGTGGTGCTGCTGGCATGGGAGTCATTCATTGATGGATTCAGGAACTCATTCATTCATTCATCCATCCAAGATCTTACCTTATGAGCATCAGTTGAAAGAACTAGGGAAGTTTCACCTTGAAGAGGGAACATGCAGAGGTTCATGATTCTCCCTCTCAGAGAAGCTCATCATTTTCCTCCCCATATGTACTCACCTTTCTAACTTATCTATTTCTGTCAAGGGCACCATTCTTTCAGTCCCATAGTCTTGTAACTTGAGAGCCGTCATCAATGTTTCCCTCTCCCTCACCATCCCTACCCCCACAGATTCAATTAGTTGCCAAATCGTGTTCATTCTTCCATGGTATCTTGAGCAGCCATCCTCTTCTAGTCCAGACATCCATCACCTCTTACCTGAACTACTGCAAAAGATTACTAACTGACCTCTCTGCTTCTAGTCCCTTTCTTTCTCCAATTCGTCTTCAATACACTTGTCAAATTGAATTTCCTCAAAAAAAGCACAGATCTGATATTGTTACTCTCCTGCTCAAGAAATTTTGGTGACTCCCTATTACTTTTAGGATAATGATATTTCTCTGACATAAAAATCTTTTATAATCTGGCTCTAACCAGAACTTCCAAGCATATTAGACATTCCCATCTTCGAGCAGGCTGGGTCCCCTTCCTGGAATGTGCTCCTTCTTCACTTCTACCTCCTGAGATCCCTAATACCCTCCATGATTTAGCCAGTGTACCCCTTCCTTCCACTGGGGCTCTCCTGATCCCTCTAATTATTTGGCTCCCTAACTACAATCTCTGCTTTTCACTTCACACTAATCTGTGTACATAAGACCATTTACGTTGTTATCTCCCCAGTAGAATGCAAGCTCCTTGAGGGCAGGAATTTAGCTTTTGTCTTTGTATCCCCTGCCCCTAGCAGAGTGCCTTGAACAATACAAATGCTTAATAAATGGTGATTGAATAGAATTAAACTGAATTGATGTACTTAAAAATTTATAAGATGGAACTAGGATTAGACTTTTTCTGCCAGGCAGGAGAAGTCGTAGCTGGAAGTTACAAAGAAGCAAGCTCAGGTTTGATTTGGGAAAAACTTCTAGAAACTTGAGCTATAAAAGTGTGGAATGAACTACCTTGGGAGGAAGTAGGTTTCCTTTTAGCTCAAGGAAAAGCTGGCTGACCATTTGTCATGTATGTCAGGGTGTAAGGGGTGTTCATGGAGGACTAGCATTTCTGGTATGAGGGCTTGCTGAACCCTTTACGGGGCTGCTCACCCACCTTTGGAGTCTACCTGGCACTCAACTCTCCCCTGTGGCTCCAAGAAGCCGCAGCTTCTTGGACATCAGCCATACCCTGGTAAACTGTCTTGGCAGATGGGTCAAACGAGGTTGAAGATAACTGGTGGGCCTCAAACCCACTGACAAATTAGAGGATGTCTACCCCAAACATATGAAGACTTTACCTGGTAGAATAGGTAGATGAGAACAATTTGTTCCAACTACCATGAAGGCTGCTGAAGCAGGTGCAGTGGAGTGCTCAGAGCTTGGTGAGATATTGAAGATGCCAAGTCATCCACTGCATCCTGGGCCATCTTCAGTCATCTTGACTTTTGTCTCATTGCTGGACTTCAATGACTTGGAAAGAGAGTGAGGCTGATGACTTTACACAAGTCTGCTTCACTTAAATTCAATCTCCCCCTGATGTCATCTGTCCTCTTTGAAAACAAGGGACAAATAATAACATGTTGTAGAGGGGATTCTTACTCCAGGTAAGGGTTGAATCAGATGATCTCTGAGATCCTTCTCAGCTCTTCAATTCTATGATTCTCTGAACAATAGGAAGGGAGAGCAGGTGAAAGGGTAAAGCATGGAAAAATATTTTCATTTTGCCATGTTAACCTTCATGGCTGACTTTCTCACGTGCCAAGTACTAGCTCCGTGTCTTGTAGGCATGTTAAACTCAATATGTCCAAAATTGAACTTATTAACTTTCCCCCAAACTCTTTCATCTTCGTAACATCCCTATTGCTGTCAAGATTACCACCATCTTCCCAGTTATGCAGACTCACAACCTAGGTGTTTTCCCTGACACTTTTCTCTCACAGTCCTCCCCTCTCCCATCTCTAATCAACTGTCAAGTTTTACAGCTTCCACCCTCTTAATATTGCCTCTATACCCCCTTCTGTTCTCTGCCACCACTCTGGGGCAGGCAGACCATTGCAAATGCCTGCTGGTTGTGGCTGTTTATTGTTGTCAATCTCTCTGCCTCAGTTTCTCTTCAATCCACTCTCCACTCATCTGTCAAAGTGATCTTCTCAAAAAATGAGAGTACTGGATTAAATGGTCCTTTCCAGCTCCAGATCTATCCTACTTTGTGGCAGAGGTAAAGAGGGAGAGTGTTTAGGAATGAAGTCAAAGATACAGAGGATGGTGGTGAATGACTTCCAGATACACACCAAAAAATGTGTCAGAGAAAGAAACAGCCCCCAAAAGCCAAGGTTGTTCAACCTCCTTACAGTTGAATGCATAAATTACTAACATTTTTAGACTGTTTAATCATCACCCCACCCATCAAGGAAAGAGCCAATTTGGGGAGAGTTGAGTCCTTTCTATTGACTTATTAGAACTCCTTATAAGGAGTAGGCAAACAAACCTAACAGACACAGCCCTCCTGAGTGGGTTCTCTTAGTGCATATCCCTACCGATCATTACCTGTTAATACAGATTACTCACCTGCTGATAGAACTTTCCACAGCTTCCGGAGTTTCTCTGTCTAGGACAATCATCTCAGTAGACGTAATTTCTAATGGGATTTATGATTCTCTTGAGATAACCTTAGTTCAAAATCTTCTGAATCAAGGTTGTTGCTTCCCAACAAGTCAAAACCAAGTTGGTAGGGATTTTGTTGTTGTTGTTTTTTTATGAAAGGGATGATCTACAACTTAAGAAACAAATTTTTTGACACCTTAATACCACCTGCTTCATAGTAACTTGGTGTTTAGACCTTAGAATAGGATGACTTCCAAAGGAGGGAGTATGGTGCCAAGGAGTGGTTCCAAAGCTATACTGGTGAATGGTTAACATCTGGCTCTCTGGGGAGGAAAAGTACTCTTGACACACTTTTAAGTTTAATCTGCATTATTAGTAATTTCCCCCTCACTTTTTTCACCTACTCAGTAGCAGAGCCAGGATTTGAAGCCAGCTCTTATCATTCAAAACCCAGGGCTCATCCCAAGGCAGAACCACTCTTCTGGCTTTTCTTTGCTTCAACCAACACGTGTAGAATACCTGCTGGGTGCCAGGTGCTAGAGACACTAATATGAAACATAAGAAAAATGTCACCTCAAGGTTTCAGCAGGCTTCCTCCCCCTCCAAAAGTAGCTACTTTAGTTAGTGTTTTTATGCTGCAGAGAGAAAGAGAGAGCCAATCCAACCACCGTATGTGCCAGCTGATGGAGCTCCGCCATTTAATTGCTGTGTGTGACCTTGGGCAAACCACTTAATTTCTCTGATTCTCAGCTTCCTCATTGGTAAAATGGGTAATATAGCACAGGATTGTTGGGAGGATCAAATGAAATAACATTTGTAAAGCACTCAGCACAGTGTCTAAGCACACAGCAGGCACTTAATAAATGCTTTTTCCCCTGAAAAAAAAAACAGAACGACCATTCCATCTTGAAGCTGATGGAGCTCTGCCACTTACCTGTTCCATGTGACCTCAGGCAGATCAGTTCATGTCTGTGGTTCTCAGCAACCTCAACAGTAAAAAGACAGAGAGTTAGACTAATGGATTCAAAGAATGAGAGAATTTGAAATCTAGAAGAGTTCATCCCATACCTGAAAAAGAAGCCCCACTACCACATTACCTGACAAGTGGTCACCTGACCTTTACTCAAACCCCTCCAATGACAAGGATCCGGCCATCGCCCAAGGTGGCCCATCGTGCTTTTGAATAACTCTAAATATTAGGAAGTTTTCCTCTAATCTAGACCAGAGATGTCACATGCCCAGCCAACAGGCCACATACATCCCAAACACTCCTGATTAAAATGCAATTGGGAAATAGTTAACAAAATAAATAAAAACACAAGAAAACATGGGTAATAGCACACTTTTAAACTAAGTCAATTTGCAGCCTATAGGCTTACATACGGCTTAGTGACCCTGTTTCTTTATTGTTGTTGTTCAGTTGTTTCAGACTCTTTGTGACTCCAATTAGGAATTTCTTGGCAAAGATACTGGAGTGCTGGCCATTTCCTTCTCCAGCTCATTTGACAGATGAGGAAACTGGGGCAAACAGGGTTAAGTGACTTGCCCAGGGTCACACCAAGAATCTGAGGTCAGATTTGAACTCATGAAGATCAGTCTTTCCGACTCCGAGCCCAACACTCTATCCACTGTGTCACCTAGCTGCCTCAACCTTTGTTTCTGTTTGAGTTTAATACCACTGATGTAGACAAAATTTATCCCTTTGTAGCTTGCACCCACCTTTCCTGGTTCTACCCTTAGGGGCCATATTGAGCAAGTCTAATCTTTCTTCTGTATCTCAGTCTTGCAGGCACTTGAAGTCAGCTATCATGTCCCTCCTGAATTTCTTCCTCTCCTCTCTAAAACTTTCCAGTTTCTTCAACTAATGCTTATATGACAAGGAGTCAGGGCTCTTGACCATTCTCTTCATCATCCTCTGATCATTCTTCAGCTTATCAGCCCTTCCTAAAAGGCAAAGCCCAGCACTAAACACAGTTATCCAGCTGTGGTCTGCCCAAGGCACTATTATTCCTAGAAGCCATACTTCTCAATATATCCCCAAGTCACAATATTTTTTTTGGCCACCACATCATACAGCCAATTCATATTGAGCTAGCAGTCCAATAAAACCTCTCATCCTTTTTCAGACGAACTTCTGCCTAACCATGCCCTGCCCCAATCTGGTCCTTGTGAAACTGGCTGTTTAAAATGCCAATATAGAACTTTACATTTATCCCTATTGAATTCCATCCTCTTAGTGTAGCAGGGGTGATGGAGCTGAACACAGAGCTGAATGTGCTCCCTGGATCGTTCTGATGGACCTCAAGCTTGGGCTACTTCTGGTGATACATGTGCTTTGGCCTCTTCCTAAAGAGCATGTTCAATATTCTAGGAAGTTACTCTAAGTACAAAGTAGTAGATAACAGGTATAGGACAGCTATTTATTCCTTTACCACGAAAGTCTCCTAAGTCCTTATTAATAAATAATATAACAATCCATCACTTCTATTATGCTTTCCTGGGAGGTAAAGGATCTAGAGAGACTTGGGGTATTGCTGAGCCAGATGTTTCCCTTTCACTTCTATCCTGCATTATCTGAACAACTTGCAATTCTGAGCATCTTGAGCTTTCTCAGTCCTTTCACCTACAGTGTCTTCTTGTTGGAGGTCATCTTCTCTTCTACAAGATCTTGCTGTGGAGATCACTTCATTCTGGGCAATCAGGACAGGGATCCATGAAATCACACTTCTGATATCTGCATCAAGAACACAATCCCTGGGGCTGCTAGATGGCGCAGTGGATAGAGCTCCAGCCTTGGAGTCAGGAAGTCCTGAGTTCAAATCTGGCCTCAGACACTTGACACTTACTAGCTGTGTGACCCTGGGCAAGTCACTTAACCCCAATTGCCTAACCAAAAAGAAAAAAAAAAACACAACCTCTGGGATTGCAGGTTAGAAGAAGGAAGTTCCCTGTTCCACCCTAGCACTCCAACTCAGCTCTGCACTTTTGTGTGGCTTGGCAAAATGGATTCTCTCCATCTGTCTCTACTCAGAATTCTCAATGCCATGTTTAAGACATCACTGCTCCTGTGACCTCTAGGAAAAAGTCTACTCAGCTACCACAGGCACCCCTGAGGTCCTGAATCCTCGAGGCAACATATGCTCCCTGGTCAGCAGGTGAAGGAAGGCTTACATGAGCTTCAGTCCAATACTTGGCTTGTCAAAATCTTTTTCGATCCAGACCATGTCATTGAATGTGTTATTCCTCCTTCCAGCTTTGTGTTGGGAGCAAATTTGATAAGCATGAGGTCTATGCCTTCCTTTAGTCGAGTCATTGATTTAAAAAACAACCCCCTGGTTTCTTTCCAGCTCTAAAAATAGGATTCTTTAATCTCTTCCTATTACCACAGCTAGGAATTCTCAACAACCCAAGAAGCAAAGAGAACATTTGCACTTCTCCTAAAACATTTTTTCCCAGTACAGGAAAAACAAATCTCTCCCATCCCCAAGAAACTCAACTCGTGGAACAATTTGTTTTACAAAGCGCGATATATGATATCCTCTCTTTTTTCTCTCCCATCATCCTCAGGTAAAAAACAACACTCACCTCTCTGTTTGCCAGGTGTTGGACTGCAAATCAGTCATGGCAGAACTTACAGGGTCCATCAGTTGTTAAGAGGCCTCTTTACTGCCCTTGCCAATCAGTGGACTGCCTCCTCTCTCCTTTCTGTCTGAAAAAGCATCAGCATGTATATGAATCATGGGATATTTTACATTTAAATAGATATGTGCCCTCTGTGTGTGTATGTATGTGTGTGCGTGTGTGTGTGAAAAAGAGACAGAGAAAGAAACAGAAATAGAATAAAGTGTGTGACATTTTATTCTTCAGAGTTCACAGGCCACCTCAATGAACTAACATATTAATGAAGGCTCCCCTGATTCTCCATGCATGGAAATGACCATTCCCTTTTCTTTCTATCACTTTTAGACTGGACTATTACAATAGCCTCCTAATTGGTCTCCTTACATACAGTTCCATACCTCTCCAAGCCACCCTCCACATAATTCCCAAAATGGCATCATTCCTGAAGTGCAGGTCTGACCATGTGACTCCGTTCAAGAAGCTTCAGTGGCTCCCTACTGCTTTTAGGACAAAATAACAAACTTTGCCACTGGGTATTCCAAGTCATGCACAAGAGGAATTGAGCCTTCTCAGAGCTGCACTACTGTGCCATGATGAGGTTCCACCTGGCTCCCTCCTTCCAGAGGGCCTAAAAGCCACTTTAGGTATGCACACTAGCCCAGAGACCTGGGCTCCCCTTGCCTTTATCTACCACCTACAAGCAGTTGCTGGGTGGGAAAGAGGCTCAATGCTCTTTTTAGACCTATTATCAGCAACTGCTGCCTTCTCATTCCCACAGCTCCATTGCTGTGGTTACAATAGAGCATTTTCCATCTCCAAGTAGAGGGAAATTCCACCATAATTGGAGCCTATTTCTTCTCTAGTGGGTGGCCATCTGGCTACATCTGACCATGATGGCTAGAGGTCATTTGTGGGGAAGAACATTGTGGATTGTAGGTAGCTCTTTCTCACTCTAGATTTATTTCTTGTTTTCTTATTCAACTTCTGCTTTTCTTTTCGAGATTCCCATATTCTATTTCCACTAGAGCTCCTCCACCTCACTCTTTGTTTAACCACACAGAACAAATACGGCTTTTGTTTGATATCAAACAATTTTCTCCTATATTTTTTAGCTGCTTCATGCTGTTACAGAATTTAAAATGAGCTGAACTGAGAGCTGTTGGCTTTTAACTTTATCTTATCAAATATTCCCTTGTTTTTCCACGATTCCAGCAGCCCAGAGTTGAAAATTTGGGAACTAGAATCACAAAATCTTGGAAACTGTATTGTCAGACCCATAACTGGATAGGAATCTTTTGTCCACAGATAGCTATTCAAATACTCAAAAACAGATCTCATGTACCCTTTGTTATGGGAGAAATATCTCCTCTCTGAGTTTATGTCAAAATATATTTACTAGAATGCAGAAATTATAGACGTAAAAACCTAAGTTTTATTATTATGTTCAAGCACAGGTTCGGCCTCAGAGAAAAACTGAATTATCATCAAGATTTTAACCAGCCTTCTTAAAGGCAAAATTATATCAGAGTAACAGAGAAATAATTCTTTTACATATTGCAATTTTGTACATTCACTTTAGGCCAGAAAAGTTAAAGAGAAGTTAGACCCATAAGCCCATGTTTTCTTCAATGCCATAAAAGTTGAACAAACTTAATTAAACAAGAGTCATAATCTCATACATCCCCTAAGGAAATAAACTTTGTTAAACAAAATCTGTAGGTAAACTAAGTTAGGTTACAGATGAAATTATATTTAGAGAGTTCACAAGAAGGCTAATTGAGAAGGAAGATTTACATATAACCAAGGAATCAGGGATAGTTGAGATTCTTCCTCTGACTCCTTGTCTAAGATGTGTTTAAGTATTTAACTAAATTCTTACATCCTATGGAACAGGTTTTGGTCAGGTGAGGTTATTATTAACAGAAGACAGATTTTCAATTCAATAAATATTTATTAAGCACCTACTATATACCAGGCACTGTGCTAAGTGCTTAGGATTCAAAAAGAGGCAAAATACAGTCCCTGCCCTCAAGGCAGAAAAGGGCTAAGTTATGAAGGGTTTTGAATGCCAAAAATAACATTTTGTATTTGCTCCTAGAGGCAATGAGAAGCCATTGGAGTTTATTGAGTGGGGTGAGGGGAGGAATTAGACCTGCTTTTTAGGAAAACCACATTAGTGGCTGAATGGAAGATGGATTGGAGTGGGGAGCGACTCTAAATGGGCAGATCCATCATCGGACTATTGTAGTAGTCCAGGTACGAGGTGATGAAGGCCTTCACCAGTATGGTGGCAGTGTCAGAGGAGAGAAGGGATTGTGTTTGCAAGATGTTGCAAAGGTGAAATCGGCAAGCTTTGGCAAGAGATTGAAGGTGAGGAATTCAGGATGACTCCTAGGTTAGGAGCCTGAAGGACTGGGAGGATAGTGTTGCCCTTTTAGTTCACCAAGAGTTGCAGGAAGGATAAAAGGAAATAAAAATTCAAAAATTCCCATTACACCCTGAACCCACTACTTCCTGAGTCAGCGTGAAGAATTTGGATGGTTGCACGGAGAATAAGGTTTTGCTGATGAAGGGTAGAATAGAAGTGACGATTTAGCTGTTACCTTTTGGGTTTGAGCAATTATGGAAATGTTCTGCAGCCCTTACTTAATAATGCAGTGCCAGATAGTTCATTGGTATTTTAGTTGGAGGAGTCTCTGGGGTCATTATGGAGAAATAAGTAATGCTATCACTCATAAAGCATTCAACTGAAAAAAGACAGGAAAGGCTGAAGTTCTACTTTTTGGAAGCCAGATTGAGGTAGGGTTGAGGGCCAGCTCTTATGATGAACAGGATGTTTATTTTTGGTCCTCAGCTCCCACATTCCTTTTTCAGCTTTCCTGTCCTCTCTTTGAATGACTTTTCTTCCCTTGGGGCTTTCTGTCCTGCAGGAGAGTAAACTGATAAACTAATTTGCACTAAATAAAACTAATCTGCACTGGCAGTGGGTTTTTCCCCTTTCCAGAAGTATTTGTTATTTTTAAAGCAGACCCACAGGAATAGGCAAACCATACCTAGGAACAATTTTATAATGGTGGAATTTCAAGTACTATAGCACCAAGGGGGTTGGGAGAGATTTTTTTGGAAGAAGAAGTCATACCACTGTTAGCTGGTTTAAGCTACTTTCCTTCTTTCCTTCCTTCCTTCCTTCCTTCTTCCCTTCCTTTTCTTTCCCTTCCTTTCCCTTCCTTTTCCTTCCCTTCTTTCCTTTCCTTTCCTTTCCTTTCCTTTCCTCTCCCTTCCTCTCCTTTCCTTTCCTTTCCTCTCCTCTCCTTTCCCTTTCCTTCCTTTCCCTTTCTCTTTCCTTTCCTTCCCTTTCCTTTCTTTTACTTTTCTTTCCTTCCTTTCCTCTCTTCTCCTCTCCTCTCCTTTCCTTTCCCTTTCCTTCTCTTCTCTCCTCTCTCTTCCCTTCCTTTCTTCCTTTCATCAGTCAATTTAATCAATGACTTGGATTAAAACAGAGAAGGTATTTAGCTAGTAGGATGAGTGATGGAATCAAATCCCTAAATGCCTCAGCAGGCTGGAGCAATGTGTGGAATAGAATAAGACAAAAATGTTTTTGGATCAAACCTGTGATTTGATTGGTCTAGGAAACTTTCTACTGAGACAAATAGGCATCTTCTCTGCCACTTAAGAGTCTTAAACGGTTGCCTGGAGCACTAAGGAGTCCTGACTTGCCCAAGGTCAAATAGCCAGTGGATGTCAAGGGCAGAACTAGAATTTGGGTCATCAGGACTCCTACCTCTCTTCCTATTATATCGTACTTACTTCAGGACGAGGAAACTGAGACCCAGAGAAGTGAGTGATATGACCCAAGGTAAATAGAACTGAAATGTGAGCTGAGATCCTTTGACTCCAGAGACAGCATTTTCCCTCCTCATCATATTCCTGACTCTATCTATTGCTAGGAAATTCTTCCACATATTAAGCTGAAAACTGGCCTTTCACCCAATTGGCCCTGGATCTTCCCTTTGGAAGGAGAGAGGAAAGAGGAGGAGAAGCCTAAGCTTCTACTACATGACAATCCTTTCTAAATTTGATGACAGCAATCATGAGGACTTCTCTTGTCCCAGCTAAACCTTACCTGGACTTGGAACTGAATCTCCTGGGCCACGATTTTGAGTCTGCTTACTTTGTTGTTTGGCCTCCTTTGGACTATCAGTGTCCCTCCTAAAATGTGCTCTGACAGGAAAGATTGAAATGAAGTTTTATAGACATCAATGTAAAGTCCCAAAGTTAGGTTAAAAAAAATTTCTTACTCCAAGCTCTGGATAAGAGAGACATGCCTGTGAAAAGATGGGAAGGGAAGGAGGGAGACTAGTAGTGATTGCAAGCTCAGTGTGAGTAAAGGGTGCCACCCACTTTGTATGGAGCTAGCTAACAGCTAGCATTTATCTAGTGCCTTCAAGGGTTGCAAAGTGCTTTTTGTAAATTCTCTTATTTGACCCTCATAAGGAGCCTGTGAGGTCAGTGTAATCATTTTCCCCATTTTACAAATAGTGGATCTTAAGCAGAGAGAGACTAAATGATTTGATTAGGGTGTAATTGTAAAATCAGGTAGTAATTATCTGAAAGAGGGTTGTAACTCAACCTGATTCCCAAGGCCAAGACTCTTCCTCCTGAGTTCAAATCTGACTTCAGACACTTACTAGCTGTGTAACCCTAAGCAAGTCAGTTAACCCTGTTTGTTTCACTTTCCTCATCTGTAAATGAGCTGGAGAAAGAAATGGCAAACCTCTCCAGTATCTTTGCCAAGAAAACCCCAAATGGGCTCATAAAGACTGAAAACAACTGAACAATGACAAACAGAAAAACAGTGCCAAAAGAAAAAGGAGATGCAAATCCCTCTCCTCAGAACACATTTGAGGAGGACTATTTCTAGTCCCTCTTGTTCTTCTTTACCTTGGTCGCAGAGGGAAGACTGAAGACCTATGGATGAAAGTTACAGGAAGCCAGATTTCAGCTCAGCATATGAAGAACTTCCTGATAATAGACGGAGAAGGAACATGGTGAAGTGGAAAGAATGCTGAATTTGGAGCAAGAGAAACTCAGGTCAAATCCAGACTCTTCTATTTGCCCTAGGCAAGTCCCTTCACCTCCATGCACCTCAGCTTTCTCATCTGTAAAATAAGGGCATCAGACTAGATGACCTCTGGCATCCCTTCCAACCCTAAATCTGTGAGCCCATGCATTAGAGAAGCCTGAACATAGAAAGGGTTTCTTTAGTAAGTAATGGTACCTCATCACTGAAAGACTTCAGGCAGAGAGACTTATGGTGCACGTTGTTGGGGCTGCTCGTGCTTCAGATTGAGAGGTAGGATGACTTTTAAGTCTCTTCAGGCTGGGAGAATCTAAAACAAACACACACAAAAACAAGCAACATCTGGAATTCATTTGGAGGTTGGCTTAGAGCTTAACTCTTTTCATGTATCAAGGGAGAGTCAGCCTGGAAATTTTCTGGAAGAGAATAATAGCGAGTGTACTCCCACCCAGAATCCAAAGCCCAGGGCTTTAGAGCAAAGCATCCTAAGGAGATTCCCACACATATACAGACACCTCAGAACTCCATCTTACAGCCAAGTGCCCAGTGATCTGTCTTCATTTTTTACCAAATACAGGCTTTCTTCTCATCGCTCCTTTAATCACACTCCTCTTTGACTTTAAGCCACTATGACCTCTGCTTAATTGTACAGGACTCTCTCTAGCCCTGTCAGGGAGAACAGCCCATTCCTTCCATAACCCAAGAGCAGCAACAAAGTTTATAGGTGAATTCACTTGGAAGAGAAAAATTTCGAGATGACAGATGATTCAGATTTGTCATTGAGATGAAACTAAATGTTTTGTCCTTAGGGGGAAAAAAGCTGTCTGAGGCAAAACTAAAAAAAAAAAAAGTCATCTCACTTCCTCCTTCCTCATTCTAAGCTTTTCTGTAAACACTGCATGCCCTATCCTAATCTTTATGTCTCCTTTCAGAGTGCTAGTAATCTTTCAATGACCTTTCCAAGTGAAATTTAGTAAGGAAAATGTGGCATTCCTCTTCCTTGTACCCCAATCTTATCTATCTACGAGTGTACAAACTTCAAGATGGGAAATTGAATTGTCACCTTGAATGAGCTACCCATGTGAAAACAGTCACTGCTTTGTCTTCTACATGCCCTAGACAAAGCCATAATCTGCGGTGTGACCGTCACAAGTGAGCTTTAGTCATTCTCTGCCAAGCCTCTAAACTCCTCCCTTCAAGAAGATTAATATGTTGAGAAGTGAGGATGGATACTCCAACATGCTGAATCATTTCAATTCATTTTCAGTAAATACTTATTAGGTACTTGTTAGGTGCCAGGCACTGTCACGGAATCTGTAGATTTTTTGCCAAAACTTGAACTGAGCCTGAACTTCTCTACAGAGTTTTAAAATCTTTAACTCACTTTCCCGCTCCCAATTGCCTAATCTTCAGGCTTCTCTGCACTTTTCAGTTGGGTCTGGATGCTTTGAAATTTCAAACAAAACAAAGAACTATCCCTGTCCTCAAGGACCTTATATTCTACTTGCATGGGGGTTCAGGGGAGGGAGGGTAGAGTGTGTGCCTAGATAAATAAATTAGAGATAATCTAGATAATTAAAGATAATTCTAGAGAAAGAGAGCTCTAACAATTAGGAAGACGGGGAATGACTTGCCAAAAGAGGCAAAACCTGCATTGGGACTTGAAATAAGCTGGGAATGGGAAGAGTTCCATGAATGCGATACACACAGGTAGGAGATGCAAGGCAGAGTATGTGAACCATCAAGTGGCCGGTTTGACTGGAACATAGAGTTTGTGATGGGGAATGATGTGGAGTAAGTCATTCTCTTGGTTTCTTCATCTTGTGACCGTTGGCTATTTTAATGGAATGGATCTGCCCACCCCAACCACACCAGTGATGAAGATGACTAAAAGTGATAATGGCCTTCCACTGACAAACAAGACACAGTTTTCATAATGATTGAAATCTCAACTAATGAAGTTTTCAGCTCATTCAACTCTAAGATTCTGTGATTCTTCAGTAAGGTCTGGATTCTAAATTTCAACTCTGCCATTAACAAGCTATGTGGTCTTGTGTATGCTATTTAAACCATGCTTCTCAGCCTGTTTTTAATAAAGTTAAGTGCATTGGACTAGAAGTTGGTTAAGATCTCTTTCCACTTTAAACGGTTGGAATATTCTCCCATCAAAATTGCTCCTGGAAACATAGAGCATAATTAAAAGGAAAAAATTTTGGAAGAATCATCAAGATGACATCTAATGCATCCCCCAGCCTCCAGGCAAGGCCATCTTCAAACCAACCTGGAAACATATGTCTTTTCTAGTCTCCTTTTCATCTGCAGTTTTGTACAAATAGAAAATACCTTTCTCTTTCCCCTGGGCAAGCTGGTACTGATAAAATCAGCAATGGCCCAGGCTTCTGCCCAAAACTTGAACTGAGCTTGAACTCTTATACAGAATTTTAAAATGTTTCACTCACTTTCTTCCCTCCCAACCGCCTGATCTTCATGCTTCTCTGCACTTTCCAGACTATGTGGGTCTGGATGCTTAGAAATTTCATAAGGCTACTTTTATTTTGTTCTTAAACAACTTCATTGAACAGCTGCTTGAGGGAAAAGAGAATAGTACAATGGAAAAATATGTTTGCTCTGGAGTCAGAGAATCTGGGTTTGAATCTTAACTCTGATACGTGCTACCTGTTTGACTTTGGATCCAGAAGGAAAACAGACCATGAGATTACAAAGCCAATACAGAGGCATGATAAAGTCTTCTTGAAAGGAGGCTTTTATGCCTGCATCAGATTGAACCCTGTCTTGGGGAGGGATGAAGAGAGGGAAGGGAAGAAAATTTAAAACTTAAAAGCTTATGAAAGTGAATGTTGAAAACTAAAAATAAATTAATTAAATAAATGAAAAAAAAGTAATTAAAACTTGACTGCTGTAGGCCAGGCCAGAAAGAAAGAAAGAAAGAAAGAAAGAAAGAAAGAAAGAAAGAAAGAAAGCTTCTATGGGAAGGAGGTGAGATTTAAGTGACATACAAAATAGCCTATGCAAAAACAAAGGCAGTGTCTGACCTGTGCTTTAGGAAAATGATTTTGACAGTTTCGTGCAGGATTAATTGGAGAAAGGAGAACATGAAAGTAGGGAAGGCCATGTGAGTACAGAAAAGGGGACGGTCATGAGAAATGTTGCGAATAGAACTGACTAGACTTGGCAAATAAGTAAATATGGGGGAATGAGAGAGGATGATTAATTGAAAATGACTCAGAGGTCATGAGTCATCCTGGGTAACTTCAAAGGATGGTGGTACCCTAGACATAAATAGGAAACTCTGAAGGAGGAGGAGGATTAGATGGTAAGATAATGAGTTCCATTTTTGATATATTGAGTTTGAGTTACCTATGAGACATTCAAGTAGAGCTGTCTAGCTGGCAGTTTGTGATTTTGGACTGGAGCTCAGCAGAGGGATTAGCATTGGATTTAACAATTTATTAAGTCATCTCTGTAGAGATGACAATTGACACTCTAGGAGCTGATAAAATCATGGAACACATAGAAAGAGAAGAGAAGCAATCACTTGGCCAATATTTATTAAACACCTAATCTGTGCCAGGCCCTGGATACTGGAGATTCAAAGACAAAAATGAAACAGCATCTGTCCTCAAAGAGTTTAACTTTTCTTGGCTATTCCAAGACAAGAAGATAGTCTGTGCAACAGCATGGAGGTGGGAGATGAAATATTATATTCAAGGAACAGCAATTTGGTCAGTTTGGCTAGAATGTAAAGAACAAGAAAGGGAGTGATGAAATAAACCTAGAAAGGTAGGCTGGAGCCAGTCTGCAAGAGATTTGAAATGTCAAATAAAGTTTACATTTTTATTCAAGAGACAATAGTGAATCACTAGAGCTTTTGGGGGTGGGACAGCTAGGTGGTACAGTGGACAGAGTGTCAGGCCTGAAGTCAGAAAGATCCCGGAGCAAGTCACTTCATCCTATTTGCCTCAGTTTCCTCATCTGTAAAATGAGCTGGAGAAGGAAATGGCAAACCACTCCAGTATCTTTGCCAAGAAAACCCCAAATGGAGTCACGAAGAGTCAGAAATGGAACAACCACCACCACAACAACAAACAAAACACTTTTTGAAGAAGGAAGTGATATGGTAGCCTTTGGGGAAACCCACAATTAGGAAGTGTGATGATGATCGCAGCAAAGGATACTGAGGAGTGGGTTTCCAAGTAGAAGAACTATGGAGAAGAAGCAAGGAGATTCAGGAAGGATGATGCTGAGGAAAGGCCAGCAGTTTTAGCAGATTTAGCAATTCAGAGATCATTGGTAACTTTGGGGAAAGCACTTTCAGTTGAGGTCTTAGTCAGGTATGGGTTGAAAAGTGAGTGGGAGGTGAGGGGTAAAACAAAGAGTGTAGATGGGTATACTTCCGAATTGTGGGTTTCTCCAAAGGCTACCATATTATTTCCCTGTTCAAAAAGTGTTTTATTTGTTGTGGTGGTGTTGTTCAATTTCAGACTCTTTGTGATTCCATTTGGGGTCTTCTTGGCAAAGATACTAGACTGGTTTGCCATTTCCTTCTCCAGCTCATTTTACAGATGAGGAAACTGAGGCAAATAGGGTGAAGTGACTTGTCCAGGGTCATACAGGTAGTAAGTGTCAGAGGCCAGATTTAAACTCAGGAAGATGAGTCCTTCTGACTTCAGGCCTGGCACTCTGTCGACTGTACCACCTAGCTGCCCCCACCCCCAAAATATATAGATGGGATAGCTATGGGACGATAGCTCATGGAGGTGAAATAGTCAAGTGAAGGATGTTTAAGGAGGAGGGGGGTGGTGGAGATCTGGACATGTGTCTAGGCAGCTGGGAAGGAACTTGTAGGTAAGGAGAGATTAAACATAAGAGACAGAGAGAGATAAGAGACAGAAAAAGAGAGAAGGAAGAAGGGATAGAGGTGGGGAGAAAGAGAAAGAAAGAGAGAACATCTGCTAGAGTGCTCTTACTTTACTAATAGCAGAGCAGCTGATAAATTCTCAATGTGTTTTAAGAGTTATTTTCTTTAGAACATGGTAGAAATAATGATAGAAATGACAATCCTGGAAATTATTCTGAAAAATAAGGTTGGAACCCCGATGGCAAGGTAAAAATGACAAAAACTTTGGGAAGAAGTGACTAGCTTATCTGAGAATTCTTGATAGGCAAGGAGAGGAAATCCAAGGCTGACATACCCTGCAGTCACTACCTCTGTTCTCTCTCCTCCCGTTGACGTCTCAAGCCTTTGCAGTCTGGCTTTTAATTTCACTCAAGGGAAACTATTCTCTCCAT